GGCGCAGCCGCGAGACTAGTCGGACAGCTAACCAAGAGAGGGGTATTACCTGGCGCAGCGACGGTGTAATTAGGGAACTTGTTTGATCCGATTCCAATAGATCTACATATAAGGTAAGAAATTGACATCCGAAATAGGGTTTGTCATAATAAAATGAATTCCAAAATTTACATTTCTTTTGTAAAAATTTCTATTAGGAATTGTAATCCGCCGCGCAATATAGGGAAGAAAGAACTCGCGAGTACATAAAGTAACAGCTACTTACTGGCCAGAGTATAGATTATATTAACAACAACACGAGGTAGGAGGAGGTGGTAGCACACTGCCAATTATTGTTCCATACAGGAACATAGTCCATGAGAGGTCAAGATAGGAAGTTTCAGAGATCTTCTTATTTACTGAGTATCCAGTGAAAGTGGGTGCAGTGAGCCATCCGAAAGTCTTCAAGAGCAGACGAGCAACAAAGCCGGACAATTCCCTTCTCGCGCACGGTAGAATAATATAAATGAAATATTATACACTCTTCTGTTTTTTATAGTCTATAACAAAAAGAAAAACAAAGAGAAAAAAAATTTAGACACTGATACAGCGCGCGACCACGAATCACGCCGTTGGGGAAACCCTCGTGCGCCCGTTCGCGGTACTAGAAAAAGTGCGTCGTCCGGGAGCGTCGCAGGGACAGACGATAACGCATTTATAATAAAGAGATTAATATCGTCCGCCTGTTTGGTGTTAGGATCCTCTTGTTCCATAAATGTGCGCGTCTTGTTTAACCGAGTGAACAATGACTTTTGTTTCTATTGTTATTCAACTCAATAAAATTAGTAGGTTGATTCAGACGACAAGTAGTAACGATATAAAATGGTCCCTCTTCGTATTTATTGTCTTCTATGGTTCATGTCCGTTCTTGCGGGTAGCGACGTTTTCCAAAGTTCTCTCAACTTCCTGGTTTCGGCACGTAACACGCTACAGAAAATTCAACAGACCGATCCCGACTAGTAAACATTGAGATTACGGCCGTTTCTTTACTTCCTCTTTCAGCCATACTAATTTGCTCTGAATCTCTGCATTTGACATTACAGTGATGATCAAGTGTTTTCCCGGAAACGCGACAAAACTAAGTTATGATGTACGGGAGCAATCAATTATATGCGTCTGTGGAATGCCGTTATATGGCTGCAGTCACACCGGGGTTTCTCCATATTCACACATATCACTTCATCCTCTCTCTCATTGAATTCATCCTGATTAATAGTGGTGACCTAGGTTCACCATTCCTATTATGTTCAAGTACGTAAACAAGGGAGGTCAAGTAGGAAACTTTGGGGGGAACTAATGGATATGTTCTAGGCTGGAGTTGTGCCACTCTCAAGATCAGAGAATAAACATGCGACACCTTCGTCGTCTTAAGTCCAGGAGGTTGTGATGGGCGCTCCCCCGTTAGAAAAGTTTTCTACACCAACATAAGACCAAGGACCACTAACCCCTACGTCCCGCGTGCCAGTTTCTTGGCTGTTTGCGTACAATGGCGTACAGCAGGATAATTCCAGATCGTGTGGTTTTAATGCTACGGCCTGTCCGTCTACTCTATGACTCGTTCCCGTATCTTCCCCACGACTATCCTTTATCTCTGTTCACCACTACGCGCTTCGACATACATTAGATTTGATCGTGGTCCGGATGGTTGATGCGTCGATAAATACCTCCCTTTTAGTTGGATTGAAATGGATGTCAGGAGACACACCTCCTCCTATGAGTCGACTTGCCTTACAAAAACCGGGTATCATCTCCCACGTCGGGCATAGTACCGGGTACAAGTCCGAGGGTGAGAACATCTAGATCTGCATGAAGGGTGGCAGAACCCAAGATATTCAAGTCACTGGGGCAGTGGAACGAAGTGGAGACATTTGGCACATTCATTACTAGGTGCCATGCTCTTTTGACACCTGATATTAAACTAAAAAATTGCCTGATGAAAGTGATGTAAATGAACAACAAAAATAAAATAAGTTACATATGTGTTATTGGCTATGGTAGTTTATTGGTATGTTCAATTATTTGATTATTAAAATGTAAAACGATCTTTTTCATATGGGTGTTTAGAGTTAGATCTAGTCTCTAGTCATTGTGTGCTAAAAGTGCACCAGATTGAAGCATTTTATATTAAAATGTAAAAACAAATCTTCCCGGGGGGGCATACCCCCGGACCCCCCTAGAGGATGTGATGTCCAACCACCAATTATGTTCATACAATACTGAATACATTTGAAGCCTTTAATGATGTATGTGTCTTTCTTGTGCTGGCAGACAAATAGAAACATAATGGCGGGAAGCACTTCGCACGCGCACACACTTAAAATGTCCACGCGCGCCGCGCTCACATTTTGCTGGGCCCGCGTGCCTTAGCACCGCTGCTATGACTCCATCCTAGGGGAAACACTGAACTGTATTAGGTTAGTTGAAAGCAATAACATTATGTTGAACCTATTTAAACTTCAAAGTATTGCTTTCAACTAAACTAATACAGTTAAGTGAAATCTGTTTACATAATACATTTAATTTCAATTCTTCAGTTTCAGTGCGTGTACAGAGTCATTACTGCAGAACTGTTTGTATTCTATTTTCTGTCAAATTGGAACCTTTCGTGCTTGACGCAGCCCAAAGAGTAAGTCAAAAAAATCACAATAACAAATGAGGAACATAATTACAAGATGTAAAAACAATAAGAATATGAACAGTGATCAAATGATAAAAATGATAAGCCAAATTAAGTATTTAGTTCTCTTTTAAAAATTCCAATTGAGGTTGCCGTCCTCAGATCAAATGGGAGGCAGGTCCAGAAGATAACATATTCCACTCCAGGTTTTCCCTTTAGCCTCCCCCAGGCCACACTCTCCTGATCTCCTGCAGGTTCAGGGGTGTGTGTGTGCATGTGTGTGTGTGTGTGTGTGTAAGAATGAGAGAGAGAGGGGGGGTGTTACTACGTTCCCCAGGGTCATTACCGACCGCACCGTAGGGGGGAAAGTAAAACGAGCTCTCCTGTGACCTACAATTCACTTTTAACCCCTGCCACGACAGGAATCTGAACTGCATACTTTCTTAAAATAATTCTCTGTGTTTTACATTTTTACTTTTATGTATGCACCATGACATTAAGTCAAATTCCTCGTACGTGTCAACCTACCTAGAAGAACTGGAGGTATATATATATATATATATGTATATATATATGTATATCCTATATATATATATAGAATATGTCCGGTGCCTTGCTCAAGGGCACCACGGCAGGGCAGGAGGTGAACTGGGACCTCTCCAAGTAGCAGTCCACACTCCATATTTAGGTCTGGTCGGGGACTTGAACCGGCGACTCTACTGACTGAGCCACTGCCGGACTACCTGGTAATAAACCTGATTCTAAATTCTGATACGACATCACCTTGTTGATGGTTTTCAACCCATTTCAGACAGCTGTATGCATGTACATTAGGGATGCACTGATAGAAAATTATTGAGTCGATGTTTAAAACAACAATTTGTCCGATTTTGGGATAGAATGCATCTTAATTATAACAAAATATAAACTGCCTTTTCCGCCCTTCATCACACTCAAAGTGGATGATCACAAATTACATTCATCTGTTGCATAGCTGATATTCTGCCA